CCCTTTTTTTTCAAATCTTTTCTTTCTTTCTGTAAGTATATTCTACTTGTTCTTTTTGTCGTTCAAAAGTTTGTAAATGAATTTCTTTTCGTAACTAAGCAAAAAATGGGTCTCTTTTGACTTTTGAGTAGTGACAAGAAAACTTCAATTGGATCTTGCATAATCCTCCTATTGTTCTTGAACATATGTTCCCTATTAATAATATCAAATTGAATACGTCCCCTCATATGAAAGGGGAAAAAAGAAAAAGAAAAATCACCCTTAAGAAAAATCTCATTGCAACCTTATCTTTTTCAAAAGAAAAATATTCTTTCTTTTGTCAATGACATATTTCCGAATGCAGCTGCGAAAAAAAAGGTCATATCTTTCTTAAAAAAAGAGAGCAAAAAAAAAAAGGTCATATCTCTATTTAAGATGTATTAACGGTGTCCATGCTTCCCCATATATATTTTATTCAGTTGAACATTGTGATATGTATGTCCCTACACAATTTAGTACTTAAAATTCATGTTGGCTAATTAGAATGATTGTCTAGCTCATAAAAGAATAAGAACAGGTAATGCACACTTGATATTGAAACAGTCGCATCATATCAATATGAAAATTCATAAAATTTTCTTTTCTCAATTATGTTTAATTTTGGTCGACCTCTCATAATCTATCTTTGGTAAACTCTCGACCAACAGGGATTTATGTCGCATTGTTCTTCAATAAGTCAAGTGAGGCCTCAGAGAACCTATTCCCCTCCATGGAGGGAACTCTCAAGAAATTCACTTCTGTGAAATTCCTAAAGGTTTGTTTTCAGTACTTCATACAAGTGTTTGATCAAATACATGCGTAATAAAGGAAGCATTGTCACTGATAGATACTGACTTTCTTGAAAATCTTTTGTATAAATTTGCTATTCTGATTTTGCATAGACCAACATGGCTCAAAACCGCAGTTTTATTCTTCTCCTTCACATTTGCAGCAACCAAAGTAGACCCTGATCGTTTCATATGATTAAAGATTCATAATTTAGGACAATCAAAACCAATATGTAAACTTGCAAGTATTGCTTTTACGACTCTATTAGCTATTTTGCTCTGAGGCTCTAGTCTTTATTCATTGGTAATCGGTTTCTCATTAAACTAAATGCCAAAGGCTTGGAATCAGCCTTGGTTTGTCTAAGGATTCATTAAGTATATCGTTGGTTTAATCTATGGTCATCATTTGCTGGACTCATCGTTATCGTTATAATGTTGCATAATGTGTAGTTTATGGTATCTTTGTAGGTGGATATAGAAGAGTGCCCAAGCTTAGCAAAGTCAGAGAACATTAGCACAACGCCGGCCTTCAAAATTTACAAGAATGGTTCAAATGTCAAAGACATTGCAGGATCTGACTTCAATCAGCTAGAGCACTACATTAAAAGTTTTGAAACTTGAGGGGTGAGCTTGTAATGTGGGGAAACTTTAGCATGGAAAAAAGTGTAAATTGTTCAAGTATCTTAGATTTAGGCTTTGCAAGGGTTGAGGTGAAAACAGAGAGATCAGTGTAAGAAGAAATTTCATGTTTTGATGAAATGATTACCGATGACACTCTTGTTATGTATAATATTCATAAAACTTTGTGAATTCTATAAAATGTTTCTAAGCAGATGTTTTTCGCAGCTTATTGAGATTTTTCTTGATTCTGTTCTTCTTTAAAAGAATCCATTTTAGCTATCAGTAACTCCTATATTTTAGCAATAAATTAACGGATAAGATATCGTATGCTAAATAAATGCTAAAATACATTTTTGCAAAGTTGCTTAAGTTTTCTAATGCTTGCAATCAAAGATTATGTTAGGGTGACAACTAGGTGGTAGGTGGTGATGGTGAAAGAAATGAGAAGAAAACCCATTCATAAAATCCTTAGTCATTTTCCTTAAGCATTAGTTTTATCATTTAAGTCTATTCTTGCGATACCTTATTAATTAGGAGAGAATTTTCAGCTCATCTCAATTGTTACTTGCTAGTATAACCTTTTATGTAATGTTTACCAAGATTCTAATCATAAATAAAATGACAGAAAGCCTCCTAAATTCTTTGCCGACAAGGAGAAAGTGATGAATATAGAAAGAAAATAAGAAAGAAAAGGAGAGGTGATTCTTTGATGAACATAGAAAGAAAATCAGAAAGAAAAGGAGAGCAGATTCTTCCTTTCGTTTTCAGGGCCATCAGGGTTAGGGGGTTTTGGAGCATATGCACAAAGAACGCAATAACGCATGATTTATGAGCTTACCTTGATTTGATTTCTTGCTTGTGTAGAATTATTAAAAAAATTGAAATATAATGGTGACAAGAATTTAATATTACCAAATAGAATTGTGTTATTGGGACTACAAACTTTTTTTGACTAATTAAGCTCAAGATAAAGGTATGGTTCATGTCTAAGATTCAGTGTTTATAATATATTTTAGAGAAAGTTTGGCAAATGTGGCTTATAAACCAATTTGAAATGTTTGGCAAGTGGCTTATTTTAGCTTATATATAATTCAAAAAAAAGGGATATCCTATCTTATTTTTTGGTGGGTTATAAGCCATGATATTTGATTAAGTAAAAGATAATTATGCATCTTATGATTTCACAAAAATGAATGTCCTATTTAATAACTCACCACCATCCTCATGTTCTTTTTGGTCATTTTGACAACAATGGTGGATTATAATACCCCTATTTGTCAAACACTTTACTATTAAAAATGGATTATAATCCACTAAATTTATAAAACACTCTAGATTATAATTCATGTGGATTACAATCCAAATTTCCCAAACATGCTTAAACTTCTCTTTTATCCATGAACTTATTACTTGTTTTTTTAATGAAAAAAGGTGTTCGAGAGACGCTGAGAATCAAAAAATATAACCCTTAATTTCCACCGCAATAGGAATTTTTGTGTCGTTCAAGTAACTTTAGAATAGTATCAGATTGATCCAAATTTAAATTTTACTGGCTACATATTTGACAATCAAATTAACAAAAAAAAAAAGATATCACTACCTGCGTACATTTTCCAGTTCATAAAAAAATTCTCAATAGGCAATTACATACCAGAGCAAAAAAATGTAACCTTTCAATCTTTACTGGAATTTTAAAGTTTTGGTATGTTAGGAGGGACTCTAAGAAAAATAAATTAAGAAATTTCCAATGCGATGTTGCTCCGCCTTCAATTGCGAAAATTCATCTTTTCAGCGTTGTCTCACTCATGTACCTAACACTAGGTGACTGACTAAGTGATTGATTAGATACATGATATATCATGTCTTACTATATATGGCAAATCACATTTCTCTCTCTCCAAGTTTTTTTTATGATTGCACTTGTCCTCTTCATGGTTTAATTTC